GGCAGATGTCAGGCTGCTGTGGATGGGAGGCAGCAGAGCCTCCTTCAAGGCTCATGAGGGGGCCTGCTTTGAGGCAGTTGGCCAGTTGCTGCTGGAGCAGCTCCATGTGGTGCTGCTCCAGGGCCTCCAGCCAGGCCCAGTGTGCCCGCTATGCCTAATCCTGTGCTTCCTCCCAGGCGGTCTTCCAGGCAATGTGTCCCTCCTACCAGGCAAGCTCCCATGCTTCCCACGCCTGCTTCCATGCCTCCTCCCACACTGCCCAGTTCACCACCAGCAGCAGTCACTGAAGCAGGAGGGTCCAATCCCTGGTGCGATGCTGATGCAGCTAGGCTAGCCAGCATTCTGCTCACAGTAGGAGTCAAGACCAAACTTTTAGTGTGCTGGGCTCTACCTCTTCTGAGTAACCTGGCCGTCTCCTTGGCCAGGGGTTCTTAATTAGCCCAGCACTCAGCCTGCCCTCATGTGTGGGGGCTTAAACCCTGAGCTGCAGACACTGCCCTTGAGGCTTTTTAACACATGTAGATTTCTCTGCTGCTTGCTGTTCTGCAGCTGACTCCTGTAGCTACCTACCAGCTTGTAACTCTTGGCCTATCCCCTGCCTCTTGAGGAGCAGGGGTTAGAGTCCTTGCTTCAGTCTTATGTTTTAAGAAATTGGGATTGAGGTGTGGGGAGTGCTGGGGGCATGTCTATACAAGACCCTAATTGCTTAATAGCCAAATAATACTGTGCAGTACTGAACAGCACAAACAGTGCTAATATGTTACTGTGCAGTATTGCTAAGCTACTACACAGTAGCATCACTAAAAAAGTGTTTGCTGGTGCTACTGCACAGTAACTCCAGTTACTCCGCATTTATTTAGTATTCAATTATACAAGTACTAAATAATGCTCAGTAACCACTGTGCAGTAGTGTCTCATGTAGATGTGCCCAGGTTGTGCTTCTTGGGGTGGCTGGGATCTGGGAGCAGCGAGGGAAGGCGTTTTTAGGGGATCTACTGCCCCTGCCCCAGGAAGAAAGCCCCAATTCATGGGGACATGATCTGGCCCCCTAACTTGTTCCCTCTTCACTCTAGACCCCACTCCCAGACCCATTCATGCCCTGTGACCTTGCTAGCTGGCATCTACTCTGCAGCGTGTTTGCACAGGATTGCCTTTGAAAAATCCTGAGGTGGTTTTCATTGCTTATTTCCAGTATTGAAAAGGCTTTATCTTTTGTGCCAGATATTCAGCTTGTATAAAGTGGAGTGACATCACTTAAGTCAATAAAGCCACAACAATTTATACCAGCTGAGACTATATTCCTTTAAGCCTATTTTCCAGGTAACTTCTGAGGTTAAGAGATAATATGGCATTAATTGCTTTTGAAGAAAATTTGCAAGGGAAATCTGCAAAATCTACCAAGAGCTGTTTATGCAGGTGTTAGCCACCTCATAAAGTAACTGATTCTTCTCTATTTGACAGATTGTGGCTGCGTACATGGAATTTGTGATAACAGGCCAGGCAGCGGGGGAGTATGCCAGTCACAGTCGTGTAAAGATGGCTATACAGGGAAGTTCTGTGATAAGACATCTAAGAATTGTGGTTCAAATGGACTGTCTCAGTACTGTCACCAGAATGCAGTCTGTAGTCTTAACGACACAGCAAGGTTATAATTTATGTATGTCTTTGTACATCAGTGCAAGAAGCAAGGATTTCTTAGGGTGATATCTTTTATTAGACCAAGTGCATAGTTAGGATAAAGTTAGACAAGCTTTTGAATGCAAGACAGACCTGAGGAAAACTGTCTTATATTCAAAAGCTTGTCTGACTTTATCCCAACTACATAGTTGGTCCAATAAAAGATATCACCCTAACAAAAACAGCCTCTCACATAATTTCTGGATCATCAGGGCTACAACCTCACTCTTACTTTGTACATCAACTACTACAAGGTGGGTCCAGTCCTCATGGGGGCACCTGGACCCTAACTATAGTTCTAGGGTTGTCCACATTTATTTTTAAATATTGGATTGCATATGCAGTATATCCATCTAATCCACCAGGAATTTCAGAATTAAGCAACCTAAATTCTTAATTGTGGTAAAAGAAGTACAATCTTCCTTTTCACACTCTCTGCTGAGTTTTAATGGGGCCTTGTTAATAGTCTACCTCTGTCTTTCTGCTTTAAATCACACCACTTTGTGCTTATTTTTAAGATGCATCTGCATGGATGGCTATGAAGGAAATGGATTTTCCTGCCAGCCCATTGATCTATGCAAAAAATCAGAACAAGGAGGCTGCTCAGAAAATGTAAGTGGGACAGAGTACAGAAAAAGGACCCTGCCTACTGATTAAAGTGGGACTCCAAAACTTGGGTGGCCTATTCCTAGATCTTTGGGCAAGTTATTTGACCTGCTTTTGTCCCAGTTCCCCATCTTTATCACAAGGTTAATAACACCTTATCTCACAACTGTTAAGGGAAGAAGAGTGAATTAGAGTTTGTAAAAATACCTTAGGAAGAAAAGTGTCACACAACAGTAAACATCCTTATATTTTATAAACTTTATAGTGGACAATATGTCTAGACCCTGTAAAGAGAAAGGGGGAATAATGAAAGACAGATCTCGATAAGAATGGTAAGCTTCCTCTAATATTTGATTTCAATCAAGCAGGTGTTTCTGTCTATAAAGCCCTGAAAAGATATTTCTTTCCCTTATGGGAAAAAATCCTATTGGGCGCATCCAGACAAGTGTGCACATGCCTCTTGCGGCGTCTCAAATCCCTTTGAGACACTGCAAGAAGCATGTGCAAGAACAAAACACCGTTAGCAAAATTAGATACTTAGATATTCAGGGGGCAAAAAATAACCTGGGGGAAAAAGCAGGGAAGGTAACCATCCTGGACCATGCCCTGAGGAAACTGGAGGCTCAGTTCTCCACACAGATACTCTGGTAGCCAGCCAGAGCCTCTCTATGGCTGGCCCTTGCCCCGTGCGAGGCAAGCAGCGGTGCAGGCTGCAGGGACCAGGACCTGGCTTCATGGCAGGTAAGTAGGGCCTGGGAGGTCTGGAGAAAGGGGGCAAGGGACCATGGGGGGCCCCAGCCCCCCAATTCATTTCCCAACTCCCTGTTCATTCCCCCCACCCTCATTCATTCTGTCCACTCCCCATTCCCCCAACTCCCTGTTCATTCCCCCCACTCCCCACTTGCTCTCCCACCCAGCCACAGCCCTCTGCACTCGCCAGCAGTAGCAGCAGTGGTTGGGTTCACTCGGCGCCTCGTGGCACAGCCCCCCTTGTGCAGGGGGTAGTGGGGACAGCGGGGCTCGGCCCCAGCCACCCGGCACCCATGCTGCTGCATTGTGTGGGTGCAACCTGGCTTCAGAGGGCATGGCACACTGTCTTGCAGCTCCAGGCCACGTGGGCTGAGTGATGCGAAGTCCCAGGTGACAGCCGCAGCACCCCTGAACTGCCAGATAGTGTGTGGTGTCCTGCCGAACCAAGTCGCATCCAGTCAATGTGGTAGCTGCAGTGCGAGTGCCAGGCAGCCAGGGCCAAGCCCTGGTGCCCTGTACCACGTGGGGGGGCTGTGCCAGGAGGCCCCAAGCAGCCCTGACCACTGCTGCTGCTGCTGGTAAGCTGTGAGAAGTGCAGGAGGCTGGAGCCAGGCAGGGGAATGGTGAGGGGGAAGGAGCTGAGCGGGGGAGCAATCAGGAGGCTGGAGCCGAGCAGGAGGATCCCTGAATCATCTCCAGCCTCCTGCTCATTCTCCTGCTCATCTCCATCCTTGGGAGGACTGGAGATGGAGCAGGAGAATGAGCAGGGGGGCTCATTCAGAGACATTCCCCTGCTCATCTCCAGCCTCCTGCTCATTCTCCTACTCATTCTCCTGTTCATCTCCAGCCTTCTGCTCATCTCCAGCCTCCTGTTCATTCCCTTGCTTGTCTCCAGCCCCTTGCTCATTCTCCTGAGGCTGGAGATGAGCAGGGGAATGAGCATGGGGCTGGAGACAAACAGGAGAACAACCAGGGGGCTGCTCAGGCTGGAGGGGAGCAGGGGAATGAGCAGGAGGCTGGCAATGAGCAGGAGGCTCAAGATGAGCAAGTGAACATCTCCAGCTCATCTCTAGGGGCTCATCTCCAGCCTCCTGCTTGTTTCTGTGCTGGTCTCCAGCCTTCTGCTCATTCTCCTGCTCATCTCCTGTCTCTCAAGGCTGGAGACGAGTAGGGTAATGTGCAGGGGGGATGGAGACAAGCAGGAGAACAAGTAGGGGACTGGAGACCAGTGGAGGGGGTCTGGGAGGGGACTCTGGGCCCTGGGAGGAGTGCTGTAGCCCCTGGAGGGGGGGCTGGGACCCTGCAGGCAGAGCAGTTCATGTGCTGTGTGGGGGTGCTTTGCCCTATGGGGGCCAGGGGACCCACCCCTCCTAAGCAGCCCCCCCATACACAGTCCCCCCATACCCACAGGCCCCTCACACCTACTAATACACTGACCCACATCCCCCCACATCCCTCCACAACCACCCACCCCCCCATCTTAGTGTCATTTGAAA